ACACCATTATGCTTAATAATATTGACCTTGGATATAATAAGTGCATCTAGTTACCAGTTACATTTAATTCTATACCATACAAAAATAGATAATAATATATTTGATTATGTTATTTGATGAAGTGTTTTTAATAAATTTCACTGGTTGAAATCATGAGTCAATTGAAACTAGACCACCATGGAAAACCTGGAAGCACTGGACGACCGTTTCGTCCTAGAATGGGACTCCTCAATGTGCTTATCCACGATCCCGCTCCCTGCGAGATTCGAACCCAGGACCTATCAGTCTCGCTCCAGGCGCTTAATCAGGTAAGCCACTGAGCCGGCATCCAACGATGTTAATGTCTAACTTCAACCAATCCACGAAGTTGCTACACCGTTTTTAATAAAATGTCAATGAATCATAAGCTTTTGCAAATCATTTACATTCTTAAATTTTATATTACATAACTTAGAAATAAATAGATGACAAGAATTAGACATTTTATAGATGTCTAGAATATTGTAATAATCAATGAGTTTATCAATTGTATAACAATAATGTTAACTATAGTTCATTTAAGACCCCGCGAAGCGTGGTCGTACATGTGTGCTGCTGAGGAGTCTCGCAATAGAACGAAACGGTCGTCCAATGCTTCCAGGTTTTCCATAGTGGTCTAGCTTCAATAGACTCATAATCTTAACTGTTGAAACTATATTATTGGTTCATTTTAAATATATATTATCCTTACTTTATTTTGTTTTAATTTTTATATTCAGAAATAATTGAGATAGTTTGAACTCGTTAATTATTACACTATAGTAATGAATAATCTGTGACTATTCATTTTTGATTTGGCTCCATATAGTTCAATGTGTCCAACTTAGCCATAGATCTTGTGTCTTTTTTTACTTAGGTTATGAAATATTGATTTTATACTGTCAATAATTAAAACAGATTATGGATGAAATTATGTTTATTTTGTAAAGTGACTAGATATGTGTCTTATGAATTTTTTTTAATTTTAAGGTAGTTTACCAGCAGAAAAATTATAAAAGCATAATATATTGAAAATGTTCACCTTACAAGCCAGTAGATAATAAACTTGACAGCATATTGGGTTCTAATCTTACTGTATGCATTAACACTTAAATCCAGGTACATACAGATGACGAGTCTTAAACAGGATGAAATGGACGTCCTGGATTATACTGTCACTTGTAGATATCAGTACTTCCATTGCCACGACCACAATTATAGAAAATCAAGGGTCAAAATCACCAAGACATTATGATAATCCATAAAATTATTTGCTGTTGGTTTGTAATATATCAATAGATGCGGTTTCAAAGTAAGTAGGTAGAGATGTTAAGTGGTATAATAGAAAGTCAGTGGTTTTGGCTCAACTCTATCTATTCTCATCCTTTAAAACCTGACGAAAATTGTTTTCTTAATTCTTCATTGCTTCTTTTACTTCTGTATTTCTCATTATTTAATGTTTATTGTTGGTGAAACAAGGTTTTCTTATTTGATTTACGTCCTATTATTTTCTTTTCTTACTTTTAGACTGTGATATGTGGCAATTTGACCCGATACATATTTATTCCATGTCCTACATTGACTACGATTGACTCGCAAACTTTTGGGTTCTAGTGGACACCTTTTATAAGGCATTTTTCTTTTAAATGTTGTATTTATGATGTATTAAGCGTAATGAGTAAATAACTACTCACAAATTAAAAATCATCACTGTTACACAAATGGCTATTTGTTTATCTGGACTCATTAGCTAAATGATGTTTGAACTGAATGGTAGTAGGTTGGTCAGCTGAATAATATCAGAAAATAATGACTAATAAATGCTGTTTTCACAAAAATGTCGATATCATTTTCTCTCCAAGATATTATTGTTTCGTAAAATGTACTTCTGTGAATTCTTAAATGATCATAGAAGATTCTGTTAATGCTAGTTTTCTTATGTTCTCCTTGTTGTGATCTAAACAATTTAATAAATCACTATTTATATAAACACTATTTTTCCCTTAATTTTTTCTATGCAAAAAAGTTTACTTAAACGACTTTATGGATTACGTTTTTACTTATTTTTGTCTAAACTACATACGTTTTCATATTAACTTCGTTGTAGTGTCGGTTGCTACGCTAAGCCCATATAACTTATTCTAACTCCTGGACAGGCCAACTTATCCATTCTTCTTGAGTCACGTTTTGACCTTGTTAATTATTCGATTGTCAACCTCGACTGTTTTTGTATGAGCGTATTTGTGTACACATCTTATCCTATCTATCACATGTCTGTAGCTTATTTTTATGTGTCTATAAATATTGATTCACGCTTGATTAAATTAAATTGGCTCACATGCCTTCTCCACCGTGCATCATTTCTTTTAGCTTTATTCCTTTGATCGTTTGCCTGGATCAATGATTGTACAAAATATACTATTCAAAATCCGTTCTCGTATTTTTTTGAATTTTAATTCTGTTATTCACTAACGCGAGTGAAGTTGATGATTATATATGAAGATTGGATGTATGTATATCTCAATAGCAATCAACCAAAGTCAGATCATGGGCTACATCATATTTTCAGTAGTATTTTTCATTTACATGAAAGATAAGTGTATCATGTTTAACATAGAAAGCAAAAATCTGATAACTACTAAATTCGTACGACGTTCATGTAGTATTCTAACATAATCTTGAAAGCATCATCTTACCTTAACTAAATTTGTCGTAAAAATTCTCTTGAACTTAATTTAAATCTCTATAAAGTAGTCTAACGTATTTTATCTGAACTCAATACCTAAAAATCCTTATTTATTAATAAGTATAACAAATTAATTCTAGGGAGATTAATTTTCATTCTGTAATTATTCCTTATGTTCATTCAATTAAGAGATTCATTCTAATTTTAGGTCATGTTTTACTTAACTAAGTACACATTGAACTAAAAAGTTATTATACAAGTAAATTACATCAGAATAATTGTCCTCTAAGAAAAGTTTTGTTCTTTTTACATTCATAAACTGACTGATAATGCAATAATGAATATTAAATGTAATTAATAATTGATTAATATATATATATAAGAAGTAACGACTATAGGTTCTATCATTAATAGATTACCTTTGACTAAACGAAATAGTATTTGAATCTAGTTATTTCTTATCTTTTATTTGATGTATAACATTTTTCGATAAGAATGTTTCACTCTTTATCATAATCTATAGATGGTATCATATTATGTAATATATTTTTTTATTCATAATGTTAAACATCTTACGTTCTCCAAAAGAATATTCTAATGATCGATTTCTTGATCTATTAGCAATCAAAATCATTACTATAAATATTTTCATAATGTACATTTAATTTCCACTTTTTCAGTTATTGAACATTTCAGTCGTTATTGATATAGGGTTACTTTACCTTTATTATATGAATTGAATATTTGAACTGAATTTTTAAGAAAACTAATAGTTTTTAAATGTAGAAATAAATCAAAAATCTTGTAACATAGTTAAATAACTAAGTAATTTTGTCTTATTACTAATATACATATATACTGTTATCATAAGGTGTTTTGTGTACATTAGAGCAATTTCAATGGTTGATATCATGAGTCATTTGAAGCTAGACCATCATGGAAAACCTGGAGGCACTGGACGGCCGTTTCGTCCTAGTATGGGACTCCTCAGCAATGCCCATCCATGATCCCGCCCCCCTCGATATCTGAAACCAGGACCTATCAATCTCGCGCCCGGGTTCGAATCTCGCGGGGGGTGAGATCGTGGATGCGCACTGCTGGGGAGTTCCATAATAGGACGAAAAGACCGTCCAGTGCCTCCAGGTTTTCCATGGTGATCTAGCTTCAATTGACTCATGATTTCAACCAGTGATATATATATTCTTGATAAATTTTGTTGTGGATTCGAGAGGTTCCTGCTATAATTTTATCTAAATAACTAAATGTTTTCATTGACAATTATAAATTTAATGTCTTCTAATTAATAAGTTTGCCTACTGGAAGCAATCATATGAATCGGTAAAGGTGATGATTGATTATTGCTACAATCAGAAAATTTAAAACAAATGATTGGTAGGTATTATATCTTACATGATAAATAAAAATCAACTAACTATTGACAGATTTCAATAAATATGGACCTTATTTATTTGGTTGGGTAAAAAACGACAAAATTTAAAATAAAAAAATAAGTTTAACGTAAAATTAGATTTACATTAGACTACATAATTGACTAGGTATGACATGGTGTCGTGGCATGAAAGAAAGCTGCAAAGGGCTGGCTTGTGTTGGGCCTTCACGACTCCCTGGCTGGGGTCCGAGAGATGGTGCTACACAGTGGCTAGAGACGTTATCAGATATAGTTTAGAATAGGACCCAGTGGCAATCCTGCTGTAACTTTCTTTTCCTTTCTTCATAAAAAGTGGTTGTTTCTTCCTTAACTGAAGGATCTCTTCTGATTGTACTTTTCTGTTTTCCCCATTATTATTATTATTATAACACTACCTTACACTAATCTGTTTGTTATTGTTCTTTTTTTAACGCTCCTTACCTTTCATTTTTTTCCTTCTTCTCTTCAAATTCTCATTGTTTTTTGTGGCGCATATATATTTGGTGCTCTTTTGTACCAATATCTATGTGTCCAAATAAATAAATAATAAGATATAAACAGTCACATAAAATAACTGTTATCCTATTGAATAAATTTCTTATTCAAAAGTAAGGAATTGTTATTAAACATCAAAAACATGAAATTAGATCTGAAAATATAGTTTAGCACCCATATTCTATGCATTAGAATGAAGAAATAGTTTGTCTGTTTTCCTTGTACAAATAGACACTGTATAACTATATGTGTATACACATGCACAGTGCATTGCAAATTCCATGCTAAAAATTTTTTGTGTTCAGTTTCTCCTTTTTTTTCTCATATTTTTTCCACCAACTTTTAAATATATCTGTTTTGTTACTATTCTAGGTATCTACAAAAACTAAACGTGTATTCATCGGTGGAGTTGCAACACAGACAACAAATGAAGAATTAAGTGAATACTTTAGTCAATTTGGCAAGGTAAGCAATTTCAGGTTATGTTCGATTTCTGTTCCAATGATTTAATAATAACATAGAATGAAATAAGACAAACTCTTTCGGAAATAGGCAAGAGAGTAATATATAACAGTGAAACATAAATCTCTGATCAGATACCAAAGTGAAAGCAGTGACTGGTTAAAATTAAATATTTAATTAAATGTCTTATTTTTTTAGACATAAATTCTAGGTGATTTTATGTATTTTTGAGAATGTGAATCTCAGCAATTAAAGCATTTCACCTTTCCTATTGCATAAATGCAACCACAGTAGATTTAGCAACGTTTAAGTTATCTTTTTTCAGACATAAATCAAATACACCGTTCTAATAATTCTATTTATTGATATTTTAACCCATTCAATCTTTGGTATTCTTGAAAATTGGTATGAATATGATACTTGTCGAATTCAATAACTCTTTATCAATAATGCTAAAGCATTTCCATTCACGGTCATTTAATCGGTCATCCGCTTATCCATCTGATAACTAATATGTTAACATAGATTTTTCGCTTCAATTGAAAGAAATTATTTATGACAAATTTCATCATCTACTATTAACAGATTACTTAACCTTAGCCAAAAATAATTCATAAACCATGAAAAAATAACTGGTTAGTCAATTTCAGAAAGTTAATATCTAACCATTGCACAAGTCACATAATATACATTATCATCAATACCCTGTATTATAACTTTAGCAGTTAGATACATGCAAAAGGCTATTTTATATATGTCAAAGCATTAGTTAAATAATAAATTACCATCTGCATCCCAAAGTTATTTTACTGATCGATTTTGTTATTACAATCAAACGACTTATTGTACAAAGAGACTATTGGTTTTCAAATAAAACTCAACGAGATGTCAACAATAATATTTTATTATCAGAAGGAAGCTTTTTAGATGTTATAGTAATTTTACAGTTGAGTTAATGAGTCATTTGAAGCAAGACCACCATTGGAAACCTCGACTGGTTGAAGTTAGATATTACCATCGTTGGATGCCAGCTCAGGGATTTAGAGGTTAAGCGTTCGCGAGCGAGACTGAAGGCCCTGGGTTCGGATCCCGCGAGCGGGATCGTGGATGTGCAGTGCTGAAGAGTCCCACAATAGAACGAAACGGCCGTCCAGTACTTCTAGTAATAAATAAATAAAACGTAGGAAGCAAGACATCATTATGTGAAGAGTTAGGAAATGTGTTGTGAAGGGAATTAAGTGAATCATGGATTATGGATTAGGCACCGTAAATGATGTCTATCCCATTGACAAGGAGAAATTGACTCAATGACAAGGAAGGAATTCTACTTTGCTGACTTCCGTCATTACACTAAATTAACAGTGTCACTTAACACACGTAGTGTACAAGTATTATTTCATAAATCTCTTCCAAGCATAGCTTTAATTCGGTTTGTTCAATACGTGATGTTTAATTTAGAGTAGTTGATAATGTTATGGAAAATCTATTATTGGTGTATTTAGAAGATATATATATATTTATATATATATACAGTTTTCCTGTTATTCAGAATGACATAATCGTGAAATCCTTATTCGCTGTTATTTGGGCTTATAATAAGCTGTGTTAAAGCAATTGATGTTTTAACATAACTGTCGCATAAGTGTACATAAGTATGTTGATCTCATATGTCTTTGTTTCATAGTAACTCACAACTTGACAGAAATAAATTATGCATTTTCATTTAGTTAACTTACATTTATTGAAATGTAAGTGCAGAATAGATATCTCTAGTGTAATTTAAGTGCTATTGATAATGTTAACAGTTGCTTTTTGCCTTCCAATAAGGTTTTAAAACTGATGGAAAGGTTAAATCAGAAAAGTAATTTGTGGTTTATTACATTTATATACAATTTGACAGAATGAAATGTTTCACTGTCTCAAATAAATCTATTCGCTTAATATTATGGGAAAATAATATTTTCTTTTCTTTCTTTTAAATCAATCATTTAACCCAGATAACACATAAGTTTTACATCATATTTCATATAGGTTTATAATGTGTTAGATATTTAAAGTCATTTTTTAAAATTTATCTTCTATTCATTTATATAATAAATATACTACTGAAAACGACAATTTCTTTAAAGGAACCATCAACAATTGATTTGTTAAAAGTTTATCATTCCATCTACCTGAATGAAGTGACTTTAGTCGATGAGATCATAAAGATTAATGAGTTAAAATTATTTGCAGATTTTTCATTTAAAGAGTAATTGTAACCCTGTAAACATGAATATATTTAATAAATCATTGTAAAATAGAGTTTGAAGCAACCATTTTACAGTTTAAACTTGATCTTATATTGACCACTAAGTTATATGATTCATATGATTTTTATTAATTGTAAATAAAAGAGTGATTGTGAAAGATTTCTATCTTTTACTTAGTATGTCAAGAATAGAAATAATAAAATTTAGTCTGAGGAGTCCCATACTAGGACGAAACTGCCGTCCAGTGCTTCCAGGTTTTCTATGGTGGCCTAGCTTCAATCGACTCATTATTTCAACCAAAGAATAAAGATCGATGAATATGTTAAGGGTTTTTGTTTACTGTACTTGTAGTCTACTTAATCCAGTAACAAATAGTCAGTTATTCAATGATAACAATTTTATCTACTTTGTCAAATTAAAAGGAAACCAAAAAGATTTTTTTAAGATTTAAATATTTCTAAAATTATTTAGTTATAGAGCCTTGAATAAAATCACTTTAGCTGAAAGATTCAATGTCTGAAACAGAGGTAAACTCTTGAAGTCATTGAGTAAACATATTAACTCAACCAAAAAATTACACAATGAATTAGGTTTAAATCTCATTCATTCATAAAATAATGTTATCTCTATATGTAAAGTTGTTAAAAGGTTTCCTATTGATTTCTGGGTTTTGTTTTCTGCATCAATTATTCAATTGAATGATTGCGATTATACATACATGTGGTTAAAACAAATGAGGACAGAATGTAATCGGTTATTACTAGATATTATTATTATGATTGTGATTAATATAATTGAGAAACTGAATCACATACACATAGGAAAGGAATAAAAATATTAGCAAAATTATCTGTTACACTAATGTTTCTTTGTTCTTGATCAAGTTGATACAAAATGCTCAAATTATTACTGATACTATTGTCAATAGCTTAATTAAAGTATGATGAAACATTGTATTTTATCTTATATAAATGATTAGATTGGATAGTTCACAGATAAAAGTAACTAGAATTTTATGAACTGCGCGTAAAACAGAAAGGCTAAATAATAGAAATCCCTTGATATCAGGTCAATCTATATATATGTATATACCGAATTCCTCATTATTGTATATACAAGTTCACGCTTCAATTTATTTTTGCAAATCATTTGGGAATTTTCTCAAAAACGGGTACACTATATTTATATATTTATACTCATACATACATCTACGTTTACCACCCGCTGTGATTAATAATTAATTCTCACAACTTATATAATAAGCAGGGAAAAATTCAATTTACTCTGTATAAATCTCTATATAGATATACATTTTTTTAGTGTTTATGAGAATCATTCCTATTCTCATTTTCATTGTAATTTAATTGAGTGTACAATTGCTAATCAAAATATTAGAAGAAAGCTTGTTATGTTGATTGAGTTCAGTGTTTATAAAGTTTGTAATTAATAATGAATGTTAAATTAGATCTGATTGTAGGATATGATCAAATGGATTGCTTTGTCCAGATATACTCTCAATACTTAATCATTATCATTGTACCATATAACTGTAAGGAGTTAAGTGTTTTTCCATAAAAAGCTAATATTGTCCATCATTTATCTTAGTAAATCTATAGTGAATAAGTACAATAGAATTAAATACATACTCATATTATGGATTAAAGCGAAAACATGACTACTTAATTGACTGTCTGTCTGTAAGAATAAATCTCTTTGTAATTTCAGATTCCCTACAAATTATCTTTTCTTTTCCATGATTTTGAAAACGACCCATCGATGAGGGCATTGTGATATACATGGCTCTCATCAAGAGTTGGCATTCAATTATTCAAAAAAAAAAGAAGGCTGAATACCCATACAAAAAATAGTATCGTAACAATTATTATATGATAACTGATAGTATACTACTGAATTTTAATGAAAAATTTATTCTTTCCAATAAATTCAAAGAATTTTTAACTAACTTTAATTCTTTTTCTTTGAGGCAATGTTTATTTTACTCAATGGTCTTCTTTCACCAAACCTTTTTAATTGGTAAATCTTAATGTTCCCATGAGAGAATGAACGTTATTTGTCTTATCAAATTTTTATCTAATTTACGCATTATATATATATATATATATATATATATATATATATATATATATATGCGAAGATAATCTGATTATTTTTACCAATGACTTGGCTATAACAGATGAAAACGGAAACATCGTGTTTTACTATTATGGACGGTTAGAACTATTTTTCTTTAATGTTTACCTAAGATCATATCATTTAGTGTCTTAATAATACTGATCGATATTTTCGTGACAAATGATGCCTTGTGAATTAATTTAATGTTGTTAACTAATTAACACACGAATTACGCCGTTAGATTTTCTACGTCCTACGATTTATTTATACGTCATATAGATAAATCAATGTCAAACTAATGTTTGTCAGTTATTTTTTATTTCAGACAAATAACAGTAGTTTTATGTAGTGCTCGACGGATTTTCCAAAGCTTATGGGTGCTTAATTTGTTTGTTTGTTTTTTTGTAAAGAGATCTTTAGTCCACTCAACTGAACCGCTTATTTCACTCATTCTAACTTAAGTTTATCGCTTGAGCACAGACATACGTACAAATGCTCTTAGTTTCTGTTTCTACCTCATTCTCTATTTATCCTTCTACTTGTAATTTTTCATTGCTATGGGAACATAGATTATTCTATTTAGATTAAAACACTTCGTACTAATACAAACAGTCATTTTATTTATACTGATTGAGAAGGGGGTAAATTTGAATATTTTTTTCTAAAAAAATGACTTTTTTCAACATTTTATGATCACTTATTTCGAAATTTACTTCATATCGTTTCGATTGATTGACTTTATTACATCATGAAAAATGGTCACTATGAAAGTTTTACATTGGTAAAATTTTTATCAACAATCAAATTTTAAAAGAAAAATATATAGCATATTATCATAAATGTTAATTATTTTCCTAATAAGTAATAAATAATTCCAGTGGTTGAGATCATTGGTCAGTTGAAGCTAGACCACCATGGAAAACCTAGAAGCTATGGACGGCCGTTTCGTCCTATTGTGGAACTCCCCAGCAGTGTGTATCTTCGATCCCGCCCCCTGCGAGATTCGAACCCAGGATTTCAAACATTGAGATTACTATAATATCCACAATACCCCTTCTGAAAATAATAGATAGTTTAATACCATTTTTTTAATATCAATAAAATACTGCATCATTCATGTACTATTCATAGATTCATGATATTCCACTTTGAGTGTTACACTTTTATTGTTGCTTACTAGTGTAGGATATAAAATATTTGTAAAACTGGATGTAGTCAGTTAATTATTGAATATACACCTTACGCCATTTTTTCATGATAATGACTTATGAAAGTTGTTGAATAAGCAAGTAAAATTTGTAAATAAATTTTTATAATGACGAACACTTTAAGTTCACTAAGATAGCTAGTTTTATGCTGTATTACAAAAGTCTCAATATCCTACCACGTCATATGAATAAAATAAATGAAGTTGAACATAAATACGTAGCTACCGAATTGTCGTTGACATGTATTTGCTGAAAAAACTGTGAGGTGAAAACCCAGTTCTTCCATCTTGACCACGTAAACTGATTGATCCTACATTCTGAGTTGATAAAGTATTGTTTTAGATATAAATGTAAGTTATGCACAGAACCTTTTTATATTCCACTTATCCTCACTATACCGAAATCACTCATAAAGTTACCATTTTTAGGCAGTTTCTACACAACTGACATACAATTATAATGACTGTCTATACAACAACTGGACAATTAGGCTATTAGCTGTACACTAATTCATATATAATTGAACTAAATCCGCTTTTTTAATTTACTTAACCGATTACTTTGAAATGCTTCCTGTTTTGGCAATTCATTTGAAGTACCTTATTCATTTTTTAAAACTAACTATTCAATTTTCAAAAACAAAACCAAGGAACATTTCTACTCGTCACTTCATTGAGTTCTTTATTTCCAGTTACTTTTAACTTGTTTTTATTTTTATTTTGCTAAACCATAATGTTTTAATCAGATTCAATTATGTGTTATTTTTATTTTTTCCAACAGCTAGAATCATGTGAATTAATGATGGACAAGTCAACTAATCGACATAGAGGTAAGGTGAAATCCAACTGTTAAACAAATATTTCTCTCAGTATACCTAGTTTAGTTGTCATGAGATACACTAATTAATGATAGAGGTACACGGTCTCAGTCTAAATCATTCATTAGCATTCATATCTAATTCACAGTTATTTTGAATGTGTACGTTACTGATCTTTGTTGTATGTAATCAATTGAACACAGGTAGAGACATGAAACAATAATTACTTACTTTATTATCAGAATGGGTCTTGTTGAGATTTTAGCTTCAACTGACTCATGATTTCAATCTGTGAAACTTACTTTATACTCCAAATAAAAACACGACTAATTCTAAACATAATAGTCTTGGTTTGTGAGTATTCAGCACTATAGAATCCTAAACCAAAGTTCCATAGCCATTTCTTACTGCTTTGTTTTTAATATCTTTGCAGTTAGAGTAAATTAGTGACATAAGTGTTCCGGCACCATAATGTAACAACAGGTTAAACAGTAATGCAATATATGGAAAACTCGAGAAGAGGTACAAAATCCCTTTTGTAATTGATATCTATATAAAACATTTAAGTCTGTATAGTGAACATTTCCATTTTAACACACAGTAAAAAGAATGAATAAAGTGAAGTAATTTTTTTTTAGTTAGTTTTTCATCATGGCTCTACACTAATAATATATATGTATGATTTACAACAGTGAAATAATTCTCACCGAGTAGTTGCGTTACGTAACAATTATGTAATGTTGCATTGATTATGAAATAATATTGAATAACTTAAAGAAAGAGGATGATAGTAATCAAAGTAACTATTTGGAAATTAAACAGTTATGTATTATGCAATATGGCAAATGTTTGATTTCCAAATACTTACTTTGATTATTATCAATCTCTTTCTTCAAGTTACTCAATATTATTTCGTAATCAATGCAACATTATATAATTGTTACGTAAGGCAACTACTCGATGAGAATTATTTCACTGTTGTAAATTATACATATATAACATTAGTGTAGAGCCATGATGAAAAACTAACTAAAAAGAAATTTCATCGCTTTATTTATTCTTAGCTTAGTGTTTCGTCTTCCACCAGCTGAGCTATAATAAAATGAAGTTTTTAATCGATCTCTAGTTCTGCCTTTGTCACAATACTTTAACTGTGACCTTCAAAAGTGGACCAAAGGTTCATAGACTAAGTCTAAATAACTGTCTAGTGATCCTTGATCAAGTATAACACTTATATTAGATGAAATAAAAACTAAGATATTGATTTGAATTAAATTATAACTTTGATATCAATACAATGAATTAATAAATTGTCTCCTCTTGTGATCAATATAATCAAGGAGATTATTGTCAGATAGAATTCTGTTATTCTAATGAACGAATAAAACTATAATATAAATATTTAAGTAATTGCACTTAAAAATCTTTGATCAATATTCTCAGTGGGGAGTATTGTTTTTGCACTGGCTTAATTCATCAAACATCCTATTCTAATCACATCGATGTATAAAGGACAAAGCTTAAGGTGCATTCCTTTGTATATAAATATTATAATGCACTGTTAAGCTTCTATTTTATTTTTATTTTCTGAAAAAAATGTCTTTCTGTGTACTTATTAAGTTTCGTTCATAAAATATATAAGTTTAACTAGGAAATAAACAACTTCAAATAACTAGTTGATTAATTCAATAGATAAATAGTACAAAAATAGACTTGAATTATTAGTTTCCTAAAAAAAAAATTGATTATTCAGAGACATCATAGAAAAAAATGTGATCCCAAAAACATCTTGTGATTAGATTGAAGAGAATGAATGATTTTATTAATCTTAAATTCATTTAAAGTATCAATAAACTTTATATGAACATTCAATGTTACAACTGTAAATATCCAATATTTTAATGCATCATATTAGTTTATTTATTTATTTGAACACAAAAATATTAGTACAAATAGGTATCGAATACATATTCGTTACACAAGTCAACTGATTTGTGTGTAGGCTGCTATACTGTCTGGGTGCCCAGAACGAAGCAGGTAGTTTCCTTAGGAGCAATACCCTAGGCATTTGACATAAAAGTCTAATCCACAAGTCAGTGGGGCAACGTCAGGAGATGCAGTCCTATGGTAGCCGGTGACCAACAATTGGTTCATACGCCATTTGTTCCTTCAGGATCTTAAAGCCCATATGCACTATCAGTTTTAAATCAGGGTTTTACAACTATCCTAGGTGGATCTCCCGTATCCACCAACCCAGTTAGAGAGCCGGACATTTTCTTTTCGTCCTCTTAATATCGTGAACGACACCCACGCCGCAAGAAGACATTGAGTAGGACTTCCCCATCAGTGGTTATATGAACGTGACCATATGAGAGCATTTCGAGAAGGAGCACAGACTCTCCCTACTCTCGGTTGTATCAGGGTATTTGTGAGCGCATTGCATTAGAATTAGTTTCTAATATTCATTTGAAATATGAATATAAGTTATCATTATATTTTTCTAAAACATAATGTATTCCGTTGTGATTTTAATTGTTTCTTAGAAAAATAAATAAATACTCTATTTTTTAAATATATACAAAATATTTTGTAACTAATTAGAAAACTTTAAAGAAAATTAACTTGAATTCATATGAATTAATTTCAGGCTTTGGATTTGTTACTTTCGAATCAGAAGAATCAGCTGAAAAAGTTTGTGAAATTCATTTTCATGATTTGCATAATAAAATGGTAAGTTACAATGCATATAAAAACTTCATTTAAGTTTCCTTTGTTTTTCTACTCAAATATAGATAAATGTACTTACGCATTTTTAAATTCAAACTTTTTTTTGTATACTAGCGTTAACATTACACATAACAGTTAATCAGGCAACACGAAAAAGAACAACAAATTATCCGGTATGAGTATTCCGAATAGCTCAATAGTAATATCTCACACTGGGAAGCTGGGTGATGTGAATTTGAAACTAATAGGAAACATCAGTTCCATCGAAATTACAGGCATGTCAAACTAGAAATTGGTAACTAGCACATAATCTAGATCATACACGGTTAACTACGTTGACTACTTCAAATAATTTAAAATCTTACCATTGTTCACAACATATTGAGATACGTAGACACATCGCAACATGGCTAGTAGAAACATATCGACACTAAAAAACTAGATGAGTATAATGTTGATCACTAATCAGAAAACAAAGCCTGAAAATTTTGATAATCATAAAGCCTCATTAGTTCATTGGTTTCCCCCTAAATTTTGATTTTGATAAGATCAACGTTCCTCATTTCTTTACTTTGTCCGTTCATTTTAAACCGAATTTTCCATAACTGATTTCCCTTCAAATTTTGTCTTATTTCCTATTCTAGTATTCTTATTGGTAATTTTTTCTCACAGTGATGATGTAAAGTAAATTAATACAAAGTCTTTAATTGATGTTAGACCACCACTGAAAACCCGGAAGCACTGGACGGCCGTTTCGTCCTTTTGTGGGACTCCTCAGCAGTACGCATCCACGATCCCGCTCTCGGGATTCGAACCCAGGTACTTCAGTCTCGCTCGCGAACGCTTAACCTACTGGACCACTGAGCCGGCATCCAGTGATAATAATGTCTAACCCCAACCAATCCGCGAAGTTGCGCGACCATCTTGCATTGTACTGAGGTAGACACCTGTTTCTACCTCACACGGATTAGCTCCACTGGTGACGGCTTCTCACCAGAACTCCGAGAATTTTCTCACGAAGCTATTCACTATTGAGCACATGGTAATTATCAGTTTAGGGTGGTCTAACATCAATCGGTTCATGATCTCAATCAAAAGCTTAATAATCTCCACAACCCCTAAACTGATAATACAATGTTATACTTATTTGAGCCACATATTGAACTTGATAACAATTAACTATATCGATTCAGTAGTTATCGAAAAATAACATGAGGGAATTATTTTATACTTCATTATTAACTTTCTTTACTCTACAATATTATTGGATCTTTTTCGACATAGTAACTGTATATTTCAGCTCAGACTAAAAACTATAGAGAAATCTCTTCAACTTATTGTGTAACGCTTTGAGTACATCATTACAGTGAGCTGATTATTGTTTTAATGATTATTCTATTTTCATGAGACACAGTTAAGCATAAATAAAGAAATAAAAAGTTATTTGCTTGAGCTTGAGGGTCTAAATGACAAAATAGCTACAAAGGCATAATAATTGAAAATGTGTAACTCAAATGAAAATCGATTATACTATTTTCATTTAGTAAATTTAAGAAATATTTTCTCTCATTTTTCAACTTTATCATCATTTTGACATGGTTCAAACGAAGAAAAAGTTTTATTTCATTGGAAACTATTTTATCGATTAGAACTATACCACACAAACATTAGGGGATTACTATTTATATATCAGTAAGTATATACATACAAAAATATATATATACAAACAACATCAGAGTTAACATATATATGTATATCCATATAAAGAAGAAGAGAACTTAGCAGAAATTCATTTAACTGACCCTTAAATCTAGACAGAAAAATGTTGACGTTTATTTAATCTAAGGGCAAGCTTATGATAAAACCTAAAGACAGAATGAAAGGCATTATTGTTATATTGTATGTTTTCAACTATGAATGTATATATCATCCATCTTCCATTTTTACAAGATATTTATTGTTTTTGATTTGTTTCTCCTATGTTTTCATTCACCTTTTGTTCCTTGTTTATCATGTTACTCGTTTTCTTTATGCTTTTTCTTATTGTAAATATTGTATTGTAAGTTTTACTTTACAAAAAAGTAGTAATGACTCTTTCGTTTCTTTAATGAAGAAGAACATGATTTTTTTCAGCTTATTAAAAAGATCTAGTTTGTGTAAATGATTAGATATTTGTAATTATTTGTTGTTTCAACTCAGTACTTTGATGTACAGATATACTATATTCGATTAACAATACTATGGTTAAGACCATTATAAAGACAATTATCCAGTGATTCATCCAAGTCTGTTATCTAGTTTGGATTCATAAGTTGTAGTTAAAAGTAAGAAAAAAAAAACATATCGCTCTATGACATCTAAGAAACTGACCTCAATATTATTCATGGAGAAAAGTCTTTTTTGTAGATTAATAACTAAATGGATATTTATTTCGCATGACATGTAAAGTGTTTACGAGCAGTTAGCAGAAACTATTGAACCTTGGTATTATACCTCATATGTAATACTTATTCGTAATCTTGATAAACTTATATATAAGTCATAATTATAATGAAATAAATGCGTATCTAATCAAACAATTCACTATTTTTTTCTCAATACAAAATCAATTTCAATTCATCCATTCATAATTACGCAAAGTTTATATTCTTGTTGCTTAGATACGATTGAATAAATAGATTTCGGTTAAATATTCAAATGAGATGACCTTGACCGAAAATAAATTGCATTATTACATAAATGTTTTATAAATTTCACACTTTTATATTGAATTCAAATATATACACCTTGAGCTTTTTATACTTCAATACAGTTTTTTTTTAAAAAAGAATCTTTCATGAAATAAATTTTCTAAGATAAAATAAATTTATTTCATCATTTTTTGTTGAAATCAAATTTAACCATTTTCTTTAAATTAGTCAATCTATGAAAAAATAAAGTACTTGAAATATTAAAAATTAATGATTATCAACGTATCACTTATTTTTAGAACATAATCATTCGAAATGATAAAAAAGAATGAAAACTTTATTGAATGAAATCTAGATCAGATTAGTTACTTCATTACAACCGATGGTTAGAGACCATGAATGACATGACTCAAAATTGTTTGTAATGGCGCAGGTGCATACACTCTTTGTGTTCTCCCAAATTATAATCTTCTGAATTGTTCATGTCCCTTTTTTTAGCTCTTTCCAAATTTATTTCACTGAATTATACTGTTTAAATAACATCTCCAAACCCTAATCTTCCCGATCACTGCTTAGACTCTTGCTACCTCTACCACTACGGGATATGGATCGACAACTGCATCTCTGTGTTAAGGTGGTGTGGCAGCTCGAACTGATGTACGTACGTACGAAGTTCTACGTTGTTACTGACTGACTGACTGACCTCATTACATATCATACAGCCTTGTATCATTTTATTAATTAGAAAGATGGCAACTTTTGGAAATCACCGTTTTATTCCGATGATTTCATGGTACTAGTTAGGAGTAGATTAACCTAAAAGCTTGAAACATAATTCTACAGTTAATCAGTATAACAAACAGATACGAATTTTAGATTATTTTGCAACATAATGAAATTACTCCATATTTTATTAGTAGAGTAATATGTTAACGTTTGAAGCTTCATTAGTCTACGGTCTAGTGTAACTAGTCTATATGCTCATATTACTTCCCAACTGGTTTTATGTCTTGTAGAATATACATTTTGCCTATTAATTTTTTAGAGTAATAAGTTCAATTGTCAGTAGTATTAACATCAGTGACAGGTAAATAACATTAATAAACTACAAAATATCTGACTTGTCCCCCATTACTTTCAACGATATGTTCTGGAATTTCGTATAAATAAAAAGAATACACCAAAATTAGTTGATAATTTGTATCAGCGATTAGTTAATAAAATCACATCTTGACTAAAGTTCAGGTTCAAATATCCAACTTTAATATATACTGCTTGTGTAAGGAATTGTAGTACTAACTAGTTGCTAAGACAGAAGAAGAAAGGATGGACGAAATGTTTTATTGATTAGTACATAGTACGATTTATTTAGTTTGACTAAGTATACTCACACACCCTGGTTATCATTAGAACTAGTATTAAAATTAAACAAATACTATTTAATTTATAGTTAAGATTTTATGTAGCAGTAACAATGATAGTTTTTAAATCAATCTTAACTTATCTCTTGTATGTAATGCTATTACAATTTGTGTTCTGTTTCTATTGTCACCTTAAACAACTATTCATTTGTATTTCCTATCTATGTGCATAATTGACCGAAAAAATGTATATGTTAAATGACAAACTCGATTGAGACAAGTGTGCCAAAAACAAATTTATCCTGGACGAAAACAGTATTTAATCATAACGGCATACATTTTCTTTGTGTTTAAACTCCCGCAAATATGTCTACATGATAGTCATTAAGTAGCAATTATTACTGAATTGTAAAATATATAATTTAACTGATTGAAATCATGAGTCAATTGAAGCTAGACCACCATGGAAAACCTGGAAGTACTGGACGGCCGTTTCTTCCAAGTATGGGACTCCTCAGCAGTGCGCATCCACGATCCCGCACCCCACGAGACTCGAACCCAGGACCTATCAGTCTTTCGCCAGGCGCCTAATCAACTAGATCACTGAGCCAGCCGATATCCAACGGTGTCAATGTCCAACTTCAACGAAACAGCCGTCCAGTGCTCCCAGGTCTTCTATGGTGGTCTAGCTTCGGTTGACTCATGATTTCAACCAGTGAAGTTTCTAAAGTATTCACAAAACCCCTTCTGACAAAATATATACTTGTAAATGTCTGATGCTTTTGTTCTAAAATAAACTTCAATTATCACTTTGTAACATTTCTGTGTACGAACAAATCGTCTGATATTAAAATTTCTCCTTCAATAAAATCATGTCAAATAGGAAAATCTTAATTGCTACCATGTGAAAATATGTATGACGAATAATTTTCATCATTAGTACGTTTTACTTAAATATGCTGATATTTAATGACATTAGTAGTATATTTATTATTCTATGAAATAAATTATATTCTAATCAACAGTTTAGTATTCTCTTTTCTGCAGTACAGAAAAGGTGATTTTTTTTCAATTCATTGAATCAATATATTTATTTACATGGTTTGTGAAAATCAAATTCATTTAAAAGATGATTTTTATCATATACTGATGTCAGTTAGATAATAATTTCAAATCAGATGTACACTTAAGATATATATATATATATATAGTTTGAAACAGTTTTGCTAAATCATTCCCTATCAGCTATATGCCTGAAATTAATTACAACATTGTCAAGTTGATAAATAATAATTCAATAGTTCATGTATCTAAGTTCAATTAATTCCTACAAGGATTGTACGAAATCATTCATTACTATTGTCATAAACGAGAACAGGAGTGTGGACAACCAAACGTATTTGAGCACATAATCGCAGAACATTTCACTAAAATTTGAGAGCCATACAGTGAATAATTCATTTGAAAAATATCAATCTATCGTCTCAAACTTGACTGTTACTTTTGAAAATCTCAGTCCATCGTTATAGGTTTCACTGTTCATGCATTTTCATACCAATTATTCTCCGTTCCCGTTCTTTCCCTCTCGATCTTCCATTGACATGCATTCTATGTCTGACCATCGTAATGTACTACTTATGTGGATACAAATAGCTCACATCATATTATCATTGAACAACTGTAACATTCCTGACATGTGTTTGATTCATGTATAAAAATGTAATACCATCAATAATATCACAATAATATAAACAAACTACAGAAATTTTTATGTCTGAAAACTAATTTTTTTTATTGATGACTAATGAACCTATGTAATTTTTATTAACGATATTTAGAGAAGAAAAAACCCGATTATTTATTGCCTTTTAGTCAAACTCCTAAATGAAAATATTTATTTCTATTTTTTCTTTTACACAAAAACTCAATTTCGGATAGGTTGAAGCTAAAAAGGCCGTTCCAAAAGAAGTGATGAGTACAAATAATTCCTTGATTAAGCAACGACATCAGTTTATTCGTGCTCCAATTTGTAAGTTATTACTTCCATGCTTAATATCCTATCATTATTATGTTTTATTCACCAATGCTGTATAATGACATAATAATAATAATAACAATAACAAAATTATAGTTTGTTATAAAATTATCCAATTTCTTTCTGACATTTGATTGATCACTGGTGGTGATCGATGTCATGTATGTCAAGTCGTTCTCAATGCAAATCTAATCCTCTCGACTAAGTTGCAATGTGGTCACTAGTCTGGATGGATCTACATTGCGTGCACTATGTTGAGATAAGATGGTAGTTGGAGGTAGTCAGTGTGATACCTTGAACCTAGGTTTCGTGCTAGTTGACACTCATCAACAAGGTGTATCTGTAATCTTAGTGGAACTAAAGCTCCCTGATCGATTTGGATTTGAATCTCTTTCATCGAATTCAGGTTAGACATCCATTTTATATAAGTTGCACGCATTAAATGAATCTGTATTCAGATATCCTAGTAAATAACCTAAAGTAAATATAACATATAAAAGAGTATTTATTCGAAAATTTCGAGACAACTTTCACTAAATGTCATACAAATAGTTCCCTTTATTATCTTAAAGAGAACAAGAACAAAGATTGTTGCAGGATAATATGAATTCATTTTATTTCGTTAGGTTCTCATCAGCTGCTTACAAACTAAAATATTTAAAATTCAAAAGTATTACAGATATTGCCATACTTATACATAAGAGGGTCGTTAAGGACGAATAAATGTATCATGGTGTAACGAAGATTCCGATAGAGTTAATGAGGTCATAAAAGTTTGTCTCGAATAAATAAACATTGAAATAGTGATTAGAACTCATGAAAACAGATTAATGGTAATAAAGAAAACATGAACTGAAATCAGTTAGTTATGTATGATATAATTTAAACTTCAGAAAGAGTTGGAATAATGACGCAATAAATAAGTAAATGGAAATAAATGAATAATTGGGTAAAGAAAGATTTATTACTGTCGTTTTTTGTATACATAGGTCTAGTTTTAGACGTTTGATCGCTAATGCTTCAGCAAATTTCAGAAGTTTGGAACTTGATTGTTTATTAATCAACTTGAAGGACTTCAGTGTATCGACTTCGTGTCCTGTGTCAAGGAGATTTTTTGCGATGGCACTGTTGAATGCTTTCAATCCATTTGATGGTAAACTTTTCGGAATATGTTCTTTGAATCAGACGTAGGCTCTCCTTTCCGTTCTATCAATGTAACTGCTTCGGTAGAAACCTGTGAATTTGTATACACAGTTGGTGGTAACATGAAATCTACAGTAACCTTTAAATTTGTAATACTAGTGTGTTGTATTTGTGAACATATTCAGTTTACAAGATAAAATTAACCTTAAATTCACCTTCAGAACCAAAACAGTTCAGTTTTATATCCTAAGATCAACGGCTTTGTTTTCTAAGTTCTAATATATTTATTTGAGAAATGATTTCATGATATTCTATTAGGCTAATAAATACTTTATTTTCATATTTTAAAATTATTTCAGCACATTTTCTTCCTGCTCAGTTGAATGGAGCTGCAGCGGCGGCTGCAGCAGCAGCTGCTGCTTCATATACATTGACAGCAACATCACCAATTACAGCACGTCAACCAAGTGCCTATGCTTACTTACCTGGATATTATCTATCTCCAGGTGAGTGTCCTCTATCACAACCCCTCTCAGTCTTCTTACCTCCGACTGCTATTCTTCCTCCATATGCTAATGTAATCTCCATGACCTAAAAATAATGTTATTTATAATAGTCATAACTCAGTGAAAATGTAATATCTATCTTCTTAATGGGTATGCAAATATATATATATATATATATATATATATATATATATATATATATATATTGGCGCACTTCTATCGAATTTGAAAAAGCAATGAACACGTTTATTTTTTGCTGTGTTTTATGCAAACTATTTCAAATAAAATAACTCGATATAATTCATTGCCCAAAATCGGAGTTAATGTTTCATTTTCGTTTATTGCATTGCATGTTTATCACTTGATTTCTATAAATTCTATGCATCACATCAATTGTTTTCTTCTTCATTCATTATTCTTTCATATTCTTACTTAAATCATATCTACTATATCTTTCCATTTTTCAACTAATGATGTGTTTATTTGTTGTCTGTTATTCTATAGAATTTGTGTTTCTATGTATATTTGTATGTGCCTACATTCATGTAGTTCAAAATATTTTATTTTAAATCGTTACATTTAAAGACTTGAATTATTATCATATTTTCTCTTTGAAATATATTTTTTAACAATTAAAGTGTTTCTGAGTCCCCCCAAATGTTTCTAATTTTCATTCTTTTTTTTTTTGTATTACATGTTTAATTAACTTTCCCTCTTAATATCAATGCTCATTTACCTTCCGTTATTACTATTGTTCATTTTTATGCGATCATTTTGTGTAATAAAAAAAACTAAATGAAAGACAGCAGTTATTTTTATTTTTATTTATTATTATTTTTTTTGTTGTTATTATGAACTAAAGCATGATTAATTATACCCTTTGAATTATCCAATGCTTTCTCAATCTACCTACACAAATATCATTCTATATGTGTATTTTTCATATTGTATAGTACATAAATTACAAATGTAAATGGATTATGTGTTTAATTATGGTGTCTTTTTTTCCTTCTCATCAAATTTGAAAACCTAACAATTAGCAAGTTAATTGAATATATCTCTCTATATACATATATTACTTCTCCTGGAGTTATTTTGGTATGACTTACTTCTTTTGGTTCTTTGGGTTATTCGTATTGATTAATTTAACTCTTTTTCATTTCTTTGTGATTATTTTGTTAAAATGACAATCTAATGTAAAATGTAATTTTAACAAAACAATTGAACAATAATAATTAAATGAATCTGTATGATAATAATTGAAGATTTTAAAAAAAAGAAAAAGGGAAATAATATATTGTTTTGCATATACTTTATAGTTATATCATGTCAATGTTTATTTCAATCATTCAAGTTTGACTATAATTAAGTATTAATAAATGAATAATCAAAAGAAAACAATTCAATAAGTCACTTTAATATATATTGCCTTCATAACAATATAAACATGAATAGTAATACTGATATATGTCATAAAATCTAGTTTGTCTTTTTTTTCAAATAAAAAAAATATGGAAAAACAGTTCATTATATTACTTATTACTACTTAATTCAATTTCATTGGTTTATAAAAATCTCATTCCCTCACCCCTATTCATTTATGAATGTTCCATTATTCAATGCATCTTATATATATATATATATCATGTATATTGCACAATCAAATGATAAATTACATGTAAACAAGCATATGACAATCTATTTAAACACAAAATAAAAAATAAAAAAAACATATTCAAGATTATATCTAAGAGAAATGACAAGCAACGAGTAATGATTCTCTATTGTTACACAAATATATATATATATATATATTAATTATCTGTATTTATTATGCATAATTTTGTCATATAAATACATAAAGAAATAATTCTAGTATCTAACTAATTAAATAATTAAATAATCAATTAATAAGTATGACCAATCATTTGCTCAATCAAATTAATAAACAAATGAATAATATTCATAATGGAGTATTATTATTGTTTGTTTATATATACATATATATATACATAAATAAGCATGCCTTAATAATTATTACTATAATTATCACTATACATTTACTTTCTTGAACAAGACAAACAAAACCCTGAAGTATTTGTATTTTCTCCTATGTTTCCCCCCTTTTTTAAAAAAATAAAATAAAAACACCTTACTCTTTTGAATTAACTGTATTTTGTGAATCTGGTTCTGTCTGTTTTGGAAAAAAATATCTATGCACAATAAAGACAATCAAGAAAAAAGTAAATAAATAACAGTGACAACAACGACCATACTGATGATAACTATTATATAAATATATATATTTATATATATATTTAAACTTGATCAGAACAGGAAGAGAAAAAAGATTTTAAAAATGTTAATTTATCTGTATGTTTTCCTTCTTGAAATGTTTTGTTTTATCACGTTTGTTCTCTTTTAAACAACAATAACCATAACAAAAAAAAAGAATATTGAGTTGATTGTCTGGTATTGGTTGTATTGGTGGTTTTATTCGAATGAATGTTTATGATTTATTGTATTTATGTTATATCATCTAGCTGTGGTATTTCGTCACTGTGTCTACATATATATATTCACAAACATGTAAGATTAGCATGTCGCGTTGTTTGTAAAGGTTTGTCGTTTAGTTTGTGAGACAATTTCGTTATGCATGAGATCTCCGATTGGGCTAAACAATTAACTTTATTATTGATGAGGCTTGATTATATAAACTTCAAGAATGTAACAGTGAAATTAGGCTAATTAAAGTGTGTAGTCGCACTACGAAATCGGAAAACTATCTAAGAAGCTAATACAGTTTGAAGGTGATTTACAACAAGTGACTTCAATGTAAGATGATGACATACTAGATATACGATTGTATAATAATTCATGAATAAAGAGATCATGGGTACTGTTTTGAGAAATCTATGACTTAGAACTTTAATTCATGCACTGTCTATATATATATATATATATATATATATATATATATATATATATATATATATATATATATATAAAGATATACACGTGTACAGATACCTATAAGTCCCTGTAAAAATTTGGAAATTTGGTTAGCAAATCAGTTATTTATATTGTATTTTCTTGTAACTTAATAATGCCTATTGTTATCAACTTAAGTTTGTGAATTTATAAGCTCAATTTACAATCGATAATCAGCAATTGACATTAATCATCTTATGAACATTTGTAGAAACGGCTAATATATTGTACAGTATGTTTTTATTATTTTACTCCAAGTTTATTGATAACAAAGAAATTCTTGTTGAAAATTATCGTTTAATGGATTAGATAAAGAAATATATATATTCAATGTTTATATATAGTCAAAAGATACAGAGTTCAGAATAATTTTGAATAAATCAACTGATCTTAAGTAAAAATCCAGATGTATGAATTTAGTAATCCTATAGTCAGGATTCTTAATTCTTTTATTATTCATAATTTTACCCATCAAATTAACGTATAGAATATTTTCACAGATTGAACTCATGAGTCAGTTGAAGCTAGACCACCATTGAAAACCTGGAAGCACTGGATGGCCGTTTCGTCCCAATATGGGACTCCTCAGCAGTGCGCATCCACGACCCTGCACCACCCGGGGCTCGAACCCAGGACCTACTGGCTTCGCGCGCGAGCACTTATAGAATATTGTTTAGCTTTACAAATAGATATAAATCACATGTAATGTGAACTCTGCAACACTTCAATCTTTGTGTCGACTTTTCGTTGGAACTGATGTTGTTTATTAATCTTTTCAAATTAAATTATGATAAACTTTCGTTAATATCATTTTCAGTCGATAGAACAGTACACTAGTGGAAATAACTAAACATCATAAGTGCAATACACATTGTTAAAATGTATGCAGTAAATTTTAATGATTAAGCCATTACAATTGTAAACTAACTATTGGATATGTACAGTTATTTGTTCATATATATTTATATATCAGGATGTTACATACGCCTGATACTCCCGATGGAGCATAGGCCACCGACCACCATTCTCCAACTTACTTTGTCCTAGTCATTCATTTTTACTTCTATACAATTCTTGTTCATTCTCCTCATATCTGTCTCCATTTTTTCGTCATAATGTGTTCCTGATTTCTTCCTCCATTAGTATCTGTTTTGTTCTGTTGCACAGTAGGTTGTTAGTGATAGAGTCTGATCAACGGATCTGAATAATTTTGCGTAGACAGCTGTTAATAAACACTCGTATAATGAGGACAACAGTAACCTATTTTTTTCTTTATTCACCTATATAGTTATTTTTTCTCTGATTGAAGTATTATAATTTATTCTGTAATATGAATTTTCTTTGATGATAGTCATAAAATGTTTTACAGTAAATTAACGAAAAAAAATAAGTAAACTATTCCCAAATTACTTGACCTTCAAACTAAGAATTAATAGTTAAGGACTCAAGTTTTTCCTTAACTTTTACATAATTGATGACCTCAAAAGAGTAATATATTACGTATGCATAGAAAACGTTTTCAATGATCACTTAAAAAAAATAGTTAATGAAGTATGTTAGAATCATTAATGGGAAGAATGAAAACTAAGTCGAAATATAAATTTAAATAGTCCAAATAAAAGTTAGAATTCGAAAATGTCTGATACATACACATAAATATCGTTTCATCAAATACCCTCTGAAATTTTCAGCGGTAGCAATCTATAAAAAACAACAACAAAAGAAGCAGAATAAGATAGTTTATTCCACAGTATTAAATACTATAAACTTCAAGTAGTTTATGCTGATGATGTCGTTCAGAAGAACGATGAAAGCGTCACAACCAAACTATCCAGCTCAGAACAAAATCATCCACCTGATCTACAATCCTTCTCTACCATCTCAAAACTTATTTTAATGGTGAACAGTTATGATTGCATATACTTTAACATTTATCATTGTACATAGTTAACTAACTTACGGTACGAAATAAGTAAAAGTCAGACAATTCCCCTTAGTTTTTTTATTAGTCATTAAGCCGATATCTAAATGTGATATGAACTAACTTTATATACAATTAATCTATATAATCTAGTTAATCAAATAAAATGTTGAAAACTTAGAATAATGTAAATATTCATTATTGAAATATATACAACACTGAATAGTTACTTTATTCTTTGAATCCAGTACTTTGGTTTGTTTGTTTGTTTGAAGTTCAACTTTGTAAACTTAAACTTTATGTCATTGAATGAAACTGGCATGATTCATAATTTCTAACTTTTGTAGATATTCATCTTCTATTTGATTTTTATAACCAGACACACTTGAAATTCACAGTATAACTTCTTTTTCATTGACATTTAAAGAAGAACATTTAAATTGTATCAGATATTTGATAAACAAACAGAAAAAGTAAAGTCAAGTTGTTTTGTTTGTTTGTTTGTTTGTTTTTATTATCCCGTTTGCCAATATTTTCTTCCTTGTATATTCTTTTAACAATTTATAAGTGAAATACATGGACTAAATATTACTTACTAAAATATTGATCAATATAGTTGTTAGTGGGGAAATGTTTGTAAATGTACAATTGTAAAATTAACAAAATTATCTTTTTTATAGGAAATATTGTTTTACGTGAAAATCTATTTCGTCTTCCACTACGTAGTGATTATTGGTGAGATGGAATATAATAATTTAACTACTTAACTTTTAAG